GAGTGGGATGGAGCGATCTCGTTCCACGCTACAGAGGGCTGAGGGATGGGCTCCACCTCTTCTAACAAAAGGTTTTGTTTCCAGGGTATCTTCATTTCCCGCGTGTCAGAAGAGGGTCCTGCAGCGCGTGCAGGGGTTCGTGTTGGGGACAAGCTTCTGGAGGTAAGAACCTGGCTACTGTGAAGAGATAAATGCTTCTAATGAGCTGAGAGCAGAGGGAGAGGTATGGTTTGGTATTTATTTGCATTGCCCTGGTTTGCAGCCCAAATCAAGCATCAGGAGCTGTGCAAGCGCAAAGCAAAATTCCCCTGGCTCAAAGAGTTAGTTGTTAAATTAACATTGCCGTTAATCTTTTGCTACTTTATAAGGACAGAAATTGCCCCTGTGTTCAGTCTCCCCCAGCCGTGAAGTGTTGTGTAACCCAGGTGAAAAGAAATGCTCAGCATCGTGTGCTCCCATCCCCCGCAGCCCGAGCAGCTGGCCTCTGTGGGTGCTGCGTGGGGCAAAAGTGTAAGATAACTCCTTAACCAGGGAGCCAGCCATATGCCCTACTGTCCTGTCTTCAAATTATTTAAAAACGTGATTAATCATACAGGACTGAGAGGCACTGGAGGAAAGATTGATGGCTTTACAGAGGGAACAGATGTCCCTACAGAGCTGGCCAGGGATCAGAGGAACGAGCGGTCTGGATCTGGGGCACTGGCCTGGGTGCAGCCTGCTGCTGTGTCTCGCGGTGTCTCCTGCACATGGCAGCCTGTGTATGAGCAGTGAAGGGCTGGGCATTTGCCTGAGCAAAAATTCCAGTCTTTCTCACTACTTACCTGGATTGACCATGGTAAAAGCCAAATAACGTGCTATATGGTTCTGTGATTAGATGGTTCTGTAATTAGAAGTTTTTATATTGGTTCATGAGAAAAAACTTGATTCTGGAGTTTCCTGTTCACTTCTGCAGTTATCATAGGATTGTCTTGATGATTCCATGAAGTGTAAGTCCAAAAAGGAACATGCACTTGATCTAGCCTGGTGTCCTGTATGTTTTAGGGCCCTAAGTGTCACTGAGCGTCCTTGTGCTGTGTGCATCATGCTGCATTTTGCTGTAGAATGACTTCCAAAAGGGAGTCACACCTTGAAGGTTTTGAGAGATTAATGATTATTCCCTTTCCCAACAGTTAAGTTCATGGCACCTTATTTCACATAAAGTAGATCCGTCTTCAGTTACAACTTTGGGAAAAAACTAGTTGTTTTTTTTTCACTTCCCATGGTGCCCATTTATCTGTGCATCCTGCAAAAGTGGATGGGCCGTCACAGCATAGCTAAGATTTGTTGTGTTATTTCTAAAAGACTGTGTTGGGTCCACAAGTAAGACATGGCTGAGGAACATCAGGCTCTGGTTCCGTTCTCACTGGCTGTGAATTACAAGGAATACCTCCTCACCCCTCGAGCAGGGATACAGAGCGTTGCTCAGTAACGGAAGCCATGGTGGGAAAAACCCTGAATACCGTGCAGTGGAGGAGATAGATTTGAACAGCTAGTTTTTGGGCTGAGAGCCAGACAGTCTTCCCTGTCAGTGTGCGTTAATATGAAATGAGGTAGCTGCTATGAAAAGAAGATTCTTCAGCTTCATGGGCCCCTGCTCAGCGTTTCCTCAGTCTTCTGATGTGGTAGGAGTTCTTTTCTGAAATCAGGGAAGCAAGAGTGGGGGGAATCAGGCTGTTTCCCTGAGCGCTGCAGAACCTGGCGTCCTCCCTGCAGTGTTTCAGGGTAGAGGGTAGATGTCCTTCCTGGAGGTGAACAAGAAGTTGTATCGACCTGAGTTGTGCTGGAATTTGTGGGGAGATGGTTCTGGGTGAGTGGTTGTCTGTCTGGGAGTTTGTTGCCTGCAGGGATGATGGAGCTGATGGGGAAGCTGCAGCTCCCTGTTGAGGAGAATTCCTCTGAAAGGCCTTTGCCACGCTTGGCAGGGCTGCCCTGGCCTGGGACAGGCAGCACATGTTGTGAGGGGCTCCTGGGCTGTGCCAGAGCACAGAAACTCTCGTGCGGGCGCAGGCGAGGTGTGGGTACCCCGTGGGAGCGAGGTGCTGGCCCGGCTCTGCAGGGGTGAGCTGTCCCTCTGCTGGGCAGCAGCTGTTGAGGCTGGAGCTGCCTGTGCAGGCTGCGGGGGGGCCCCCACGGAGGTAAGGGTTGTGCCTGGCTCTGTCACTCCCCAGGTGAACGGCGTGTCCCTGCACTGTGCCGAGCATCACGTGGCGGTGGAAGCTCTGCGCGGATCAGGAAGCTCTGTCTCCATGACGGTCCTGCGGGAGCGGATGGTGGAGCCGGAGAATGCCATCACCGTCACGCCGCTGCGCCCCGAGGATGACTACAGCCCTCGGGAGAGGCGAGGAGGGCTGCGCTTCCCAGAGCGGCCCGAGGGGACACCTCCCACGGAGCGATATTCCACCTGCCTCATGCGCAATGAGAAGGGCCTGGGCTTCAGCATCGCTGGTGGCAAGGGCTCTACACCGTACCGGGCTGGTGACACGGTCAGTGGTGGCTCCCAGTCTCGGAGGCACGTGTGGGAGCAAAGCGGGGTCTTCCTCACCAATGGGCGAGGCCCGGGGGCTTTGGGCTGGGGGGGTGTGAGAGCCAAAATCTGCTCTTGAGTCGGGGAAGGAGAGAAGTCCAGGAGGAGGTGGGGCTGGGGCTCACAGTCCCTGCCAGTGACATTTAATCTCGCCGCTGTCCTCTTGACATAGATCCTGGGCTCTCGGCCACATGAAGGCTTTGCAGGCTGGGGGTTTTGCAGGTGGCTCTGGAAGCAGAAGAGGGTTTGTGTGGAGCGAGGAACAAATGGGAAGCGCCAGGGCAGGGGAGGGGTCTGCAGAGGGGAAAGGGCTGAGACCTGCCTGGTGTCGGGGTGATTTGGGATCGCCAAGCACTGGTGTGGGGAAGCACAGGCTGCTCTGACTCTTCTGACTGTGTTTCAGGGGATCTTTATCTCACGGATTGCAGAGGGTGGTGCAGCCCATCGGGACGGGATCCTGCATGTAGGAGACCGGGTCATCTCGGTGAGTGTGCAGGGAAGGGCTCTGGCTGAGCTCCCTGCCCTTCCTCATACAGGGGCTGCTTTTCTGTCCTTGAAGCTGGATTTTGTGGGTCCTTTTTTCAGCTCCTGAGCCTTCTGGGAGAATATTTAATCTTGTTGGTTCTGCCTCTGCCTGTGACTGGCGGTGGGTGCAGTTAGTGCCTCCGCTTTCCCAAGCACTGCGTGTGAGCAGCAGTCGGGGCTGTTCTGGAGAGACGATATGACAGTGCTGCCCTGGCTGGATGTCCCCCCAGAGCCCGGCAGGACAGCCCTGGGGGGCTCTGCCGCAGCAGGCACGTGGGAAGGGATGCCTTTCGGGGCAGAGCTGACCAGCTCTGGGGTCCGCATGGGCTGCGGCGGAGGTAGGCTGCCAGAGGGTGGTTGGAGGGGGTACTGCAGTGCTTCCCCCTGCTTCCATTTGAGGCCCTGGCCCTAGTTTCCCCTCCTGTTGGTGCCAGTGGTGTGGATCTCGCTGCTCCTCTAACCTCAGGTCTCTCTGCCTAATGTGCCCCTCACCCCCTCCTGCGGGGAGCAGCTGCTGCGTCTCCTGCTCCTCTTTCCAAGCTCGCATGTTGCCTCTGAGCGAAAGCTCCCGCATCCTGGTGCTGGTGGTGGGTTTCTGATCCAGCTGCTGTGGTAAGAGCACGCGTTACCGCAGAGCTGGCGTGAGTAAGCACTGATACAGCCTTGTCAGTGCTGGCTTCTGTCTGCTCTATTCCTAGGCTGGGGGCTGTGCTGTATTTGCTCTGGCACAAAGTTTTGGTGGAGCTCTGGCCCAGGTCTGACATTTGTATCTTGGCAGGAGGCTTGAACTGGTGCAGCATCTCTCCCTCCTTGCTAGTGCTGTCCACTCCTCCCAAAATCAAGCCCTGACCCTGATTGTTGCCAGATAGCCTACATTATTTTGGTTTTGCTCATCTTCTGATGCTCCACTGGTACAGAGGCATGACAGAGAGGCGTAATTGCAGGCACACAGCCTGCTATGGGTGTTGGTTTGCTCTACCTGTGACGAGAAGGAAACACAAGATCTCAGAATAGAGTAAAAAGTCAGACCTGCCTCCACCCCCTGTTAGCAGCTCTATTTATATCTGTGGGCAGCTTCATAGGAAAAGCAGATCTAATTCCCTGGTAATAGCTGGCAGTGCCTTCAGACTGCAGTGTGTGGGCTCAGGGCTCACAGAGCTCAGCCTGTGTCAGATTTTAACATGGACAAAGGTCTTGCTGTGGTTAGTCCTCTGACACACCCGCTGCAATGTGAGAGCAGTGTTACTGCACTGGTAGGGAATACGTCCCTGCTTGGGAGCGCAGTCCCCGCCTCTTGGGTGTTACCTGTGCTGAGTTGTGCCAGTCTTAAGGGGTTTGGTGCTGAGCATCAGCCGCAGCTCAGATCTAGCACTCAGTTGTGGTGAAAGCAGGAAAGAATTATTGTCCTCCAGGAGAACACTTACCTAGGCTGGGCTGGCTAGGAGTGTAGCAATAGGACAAGGGGTGATGGTTTTAAGCTGAAAGACGGGAGATGTAAGTTAGATATTAGGAAGAAATGTTTTCCTGTGCGGGTGGTGAGACACTGGAACAGGTTGCCCAGAGCAGCTGTGGATGCCCCATCCCTGGAGGGGTTCAAGGCCAGGCTGGATGAGGCTTTGGGCAACCTGGGCTAGTGGGAGGTGTCCCTGCCCACGGCAGGGGCTGGCACTGGATAGGCTTTAAGGTCCCTTCCAACCCAAACCATCCTGTGATTCTGTGACTGTACCCATAACTTCTGTGCCTTCCAGCATGTGTCTGACTGTTACTTCTCCAGCAGCCGCTCCTCCTGGCAGCAGCTGCCGTTCTCTGTTCTGCCTTTCCTGCCTGCGGGGTTCACTGCTAAGTGAGATGCCCACATGGTGGTACTGTTACATCCCGAGGCCTCTCATACCTTCTCGGTGATATTTGTCCTTGATAATTTCTGCTTGCTGTAAGAGATGCATGAGCAGCTGTGTGTTTTGCTCCATCTCTGGCTAAATCCAGTGCTGGGTTGGAGCTGTGGAGCTGCCCTGACCCCATGATGCTGGATGCTGAGAGAGGGTCTGTTCACTTCCAGACAGTGCCCACAGAGTGTCGAGTAAATTCCCTGTTTACGACAGCTTTTTTGAAGCAGTGGTTGCCCATTTTTATTGGAAAGCTTTTCAGGATGTGATGGTTCCTGGGGTGTGCAGCACAGGTTGCGTGTGTTCCCCTGGGTCTGTGGGGGAAGGCAGGAGGCCCCCAGTTAGGATGCAGTGGTTTCATAGCAGGTAGAGACCCATTTCCAAACCTGCCATCTCCTAGTCATGCCTCAGTTTGCACTTTGCCAAATAATTTTTGTTTTCTTAGGAAAAGAAATACAGCACAGCTTCATACTCTTCCCCTGTGCTCTAAGTCGTCCCGGACTTCTCTGCAGGGAAGGACTGGGACAGCTCCTTTCGCTTTCTCAGGGGAGCTTTGAGCACAGGGATTGAAGAGCCCAGCCTAGATCTCTCTTCAAAGTTAACACCCCACAAAACTTGCCAGTGATTGACCACTAATTCTCCAGCCTTCCCCATATTGTCGTGTGTCTTGAGAGTCGTCACAGGCACCTGGGGAGTCATTTTGGTAGTGGAAGACGTGGGGCAGGGAGCTCAAGGGGGGAATGTTGGAGAGTTTGAATTGTAGGATGGGGACCTAGCAGGATGGGGATCTATCAGGATAGGGACCTAGCAGGATGGGGACCTAGCAGGATAGGGATCTAGCAGGATGGGGAGCAGTGGTGAAGGGCAGCTGGTTTTTTGGGATAGGACTGGGAATAGACTGAAGAAAACGGATTCTGGGGGAGATTTAGGACAGAAGTAGCACCAGGCGACGCATCGGGGTCCTAATGAGTCTGATCACTGAGAAATTTGCCAGAATAGTACAACTCCCTGGCACACAGAAAAATGTGTGGATTTGGGAAAGGACAGGTGACACTTTCCCTTCCTCTGGGCACCTGGATAGCCAGACTGCCCTGGCTGGCCTTGTCCTCCTGCTAAGCAGGGGCATAGCAGTAAAGGCCATGGAAACCGAGCTGTCCAAAAGCTGGGAAGGCATCGTGATTGCCAGGAAATGGAGGAGTTAATGAGGAAAAAGCTGTCAAGGGCTGTTATGTGATACACCTCTGACTCAGGGAGTTCCTGTGTCTCTTCACTGGTCCGGGGAAGTACCTCTGTGTACTTGTGGTCTGACCAAGTCCGACCATCCTCGGCTTCTTGTCAGTGGCAGAAAAATAAGAGGGAAATGCGTGAAGTCAAGAGTGCAGGTCTGTCTGTGGGCCTCCATCTGGTGATAAGAACCCAAGGGCCAAGTCTCTTCCACGTGTCATTGTTGTTAGATGGTCAGACCCAAGGGGATCCTCCCGTCCCAGCCCACCGGATGCAAGGCTGCTGCTTTTCCTCAGCCCCAGGTGCCGCCATCGGGAAGGCTAAACGCAGATTCCAGAGGTGGAACACGCTGCAGACATGGCTGGCCACAGATTTACAGACAAGAAGGGGGCAGCACCTTTACAGGCACCCACATGAACGTGGACAGTCCTCACAGGGCATGAACAACACAAACAACTTAACCCTGTTCCTACCCTCAGGCGAACCAGGTTTGCTGCAGGAACCTGCACTTCCCTCAACTTAATTATTCACGTTTGCAATTCTCTTCAGGCTCTGGCCCAAGCGTCAGGTTCTTCAGGGCTCTTTGGTCAGACCCTGAGCCTTTTGTCCGGTTTCTGGGCAGCTGTTGGGTCTTTCCACACTCTGGATTCCTACTTGCTGGCTAGCCAAACTTGAGTTTTACTAGTAGATCTTACACATGTACCCAGAGAGCCAGCTCACCCAGTAAATGCGAACAGAGTTTGATAGAAAGACAGAGCAGACGGTGGTGATCGGGCACAGGGCTTGGCCAGAGAAGCAAACTGACCAGCAGCCTGCTTGCATGTGATCAGCCTCTTATTCTCCACCCTCTCCGTTTTCCCATGCTTGTTCCTCCCCTCTCCTCCTTGGCCACTCTCCTTTCCCACCTGCGATCCTTCTGCTAAACATCCCCTAATAAGTTTTGCACATTCCCACAATCTCCCTTGAAACTTCCTGCATCAATTTTGCTCTTTCCCACCAGAGCTGTTCTGATATCTCACGATAATCCTGATTTCCTCTGCATATTGGTTACCAGGTTTTTGGTCACACTTCTTTAATTTTGCCATCGGAGTGATTCCTTTAATGATCCACCCATGAGTTGTGTCTCTGTTACCTGCATTTCCCTGGGGTCTGTGCACCTCTGTGTTTAATTTATCGTCTTTCCTGCTTATTGCCTTGTCTCTTATGCTCAGCAGCAGTCACCCAGATACCTTCACGTCCTTTCTCTCTTGCATGTGTGTGCAGGCTGGCATGCCTTCACATCCCGCTCTTCGTCCCTTGTAGTTGGTGACAGAGGTGGCTCTTTGGGGGCAATTCTCCAAGTAGAGGAGATGCTGGGGGGCTGAGAGTCTCCTATTTGTGTCCCGAAACAGCACAGGGCTGTCTGCTGCCTTCTTGGTGTCGTTGGAGGAGCAGCATGCTGGGCTGGATGGGACAGGTCGGGTGAGGGTGGTGGTGGGGTTCATGGAGGTTCTGGACAAAACCTTCTCAGGCTGTGTGTGGTCACCTTTGTCCAGAAACTGCCTTCTTGGAAGGCGCTGGGGAGTAACTATAACATTTCTAGGAATCAGGCTGCAGAATCCAGTTGCTGTGGCTGTTATGAAGTCACATTATTATTTCATAAGGTGATCAAACTCCATCTTAACAGCTGTGTCCTGTTGTTCATTTTGGAAAGCTTTTCCAGAACCTAAGGACTAGAAACCTTTGAATTTTCAGCTTCAACTTTTTCATGGCAAGTTTTGTCCTTTTGGCAGTGTTCTCCCAGCCTAACTCTCCTCTCAATATTCTGTCCCTCATACTTTCATGGAGAACAGTCGCATCCTTTCTGGTCCTTTGACTTTCTAGGCAAGCTGGTTTAAATAGTTTTGTAGGAGAGGCTCTCTGTTCACCTGCCTATCATAGCAGTTTTTCTCTGCACATCTTGTTAACTCCCGTTAGATAACTTTTTGTGTGTGCGAAGGATGAGACTAGTACACAGTTTTTCAGTTGAGTTCTCTTCGGTGCTTTGTACGAGTGACCTTGCTGCTACCCTGTGTGTACTGGAAGTACCTCTTTGTCTGAAGCGTTTTATCTTTCACTGATGCCACAGCAAGACTGTAGTTGTATTCTTTACATTATTTGGCATATTGGATAGTGTTTTCTTTTCCAAAAGAACTCATATTTTTCGTCTTGTGTCCAGTCACTGTGGACTATCAGAGTCCCTTTCTCAATGCTCCCACATCTTTTTATACCTGGGGTACACTTTTTATGGCTTAAAACTGGCATCCTCCCCAGACTGCCCCAGATGGGCAGCAGCCCAGTGACAGGTCCTGTCGCACATCAGATCATGATCTTCAGTGCCCATGTCTGGGCTTTGAGAGTCATTGATAGGGGCAAATGTCCTTGAGCAAAGGCAACCGATGCCATGGCACACCAGTGTGCCATGGCATCACTTCAGGGAATTCCTGTTTTGCCTCCTTCCCACATTGAGGTCTTTGGACCCATTCCTCTACTGCACCCTTTTGGGCTTCTTTTGTCATGTCCTGGTAGGAAAGCTGGGATGCAAAGCCAAGAAGGAGTGACAGGTACTCTTCTGGCAGTGAGCGAGCCACGGCGTAGTCCGGGCAATAGCCAGGTTTAGAGATGGAACATCACACTGGGTCCTCATGGTCCCCTGGAGCATCATGGATGCTGTTGGGGCTGGGAGGTGTACAGGGAAGGCGGGACAGGGGCTGGTAAATGGTCTGGAGAGAGGGTTGTGGTTGGGGGGCAATGAGCAGGTGCCTGTGTCCCTTTGCCAGGTAGGAATGGGTGTGGGGTGAGTTACAGAGTGCTTTGGTGAACAGGCTTTTGAGAAGGGGCAGTGTTCCAGCAGGATGGGGTCCCTTAGGGTGCTTGATGGAGTGCTGAAAAGGACAGAGTGTGCTTGGGTGACGGTCTGACGCTGAGTTTGCGGGTTGTTCTAGATCAATGGGGTAGACATGACAGAAGCCAGGCATGATCAGGCAGTAGCGCTGCTTACCGCGTCCTCCCCCACCATCGTGCTGCTGGTAGAGAGAGAGGGTGCAGAGCAGCCCAGCGAGGGAGACGCGCCGGGCGCGCCGCGGGTGCGCATGCACTCCCCACCACCGCCCCCCAGCCATGGGGAGAGCCCACCGGAGGAGACACCATCGCTGCAGAGGAACCATCTGCCCAAAGGCCTGGAGGATCAGTATCCCATTGAGGTGAGTCTGGCTGATGGAATATTGGGACGGTGTAATTGTGGGTATTTTTCGTGTGAAACGTTGGTAGACTGATGGGGGCTGGCCCACTATGTTACTGGGGTGTTGAGAAGTAATGGAGAACCCCCTTGTCCTGTGGGTGCTTACCTTGTGCTCACATAAAACATCCCTGACCCTGTGTTTTTCAGTGTTTGTGGTCCTTATGCCTTTGACTCTGCTTCTTGTTCTTACCGCCTTTGACTCTGCTTCTTGTTCCCTCAAGGAAATTCACCTTGTAAAAGCGGGTGGTCCCCTGGGGCTCAGCATCGTAGGAGGCAGCGACCATTCCAGCCATCCATTCGGGATTCATGAACCAGGTGTCTTCATTTCAAAGGTAGAGTCCTGTGTGGGCAGCCTAGCAGCAGACGTTCCTGAGCTGTTTCATTATTGGGGTTAAGATAAAGGATTTTGATTCAAGAGTCTGAGAAGTACAGTATAGATTAAAAAAAAAAAGGGATGGGGGAGGGATGCATGCATATGTAAAGAGTTAGCTTGTGCTAGACATGCTGCTGCTGTTACAGAAATTAAATCATAGAATCATAGAAAGCTTTGGGTTGAAAAGGTCCTGAAAGATCATCGAGTTCCAACCCCCCTGCCATGGGCAGGGACACCCTCCACTAGCCCAGGTTGCCCAAAGCCTCATCCAGCCTGGCCTTGAACCCCTCCAGGGATGGGGCATCCACAGCTTCCCTGGGCAACCTGTTCCAGTGCCTCACCACCTGCACAGTGAAAAATTTCTTCCTAATATCTAATCTAAATCTCCCCTCTTTCAGCTTATACCAGTTACCCCTTGTCCTATTGCTACACTCCCTGATGCAGAGTGCCTCCCCATCTCTCCTGTAGCCCCCTTCAGGTACTGGAAGGCTGCTCTTAGGTCTCCTCGGAGCCTTCTCTTCTCCAGGCTGAACAACCCCAGCTCTCTCAGCCTGTCCTCACAGGGGAGCTGCTCCAGCCGTCGGACCATCTTTGTGGCCTCCTCTGGACTCTCTCCAACAGGTCCAGGTCT